CAGCAGCTGATTGAGGCAGTGTGCCCTCTTGCTGAAATTCGGCACGAAACGGCGGTAATAGTTCAAGAAACCCAATAGGGCCCTCAACGCGCTCTTATCCTTAGGTGCTTCTAGCCGGTCCAACACTCCGACCTTGGCTTCCTGAATCCCGATTCTCCCTCCCTTTATCTCAAATCCCAGATATCCCACTGCTCTCCTCGCTATTTTACACTTTCCCGGGTGACAGGTGAGCCCGGCAGCTGCTATGGCATCCAAGGTTGTTTTCAGATCTCGCGCGTGCTGCTCGTCACTGCTGCTGAAGATCAGCACGTCATCGATGTAACAGGCAGCTGATGGTATTCCCTTCAACACTTGATCCATCGCCCGCTGAAACACGGCTGAAGCGATGCGCATCCCAAATGGCATAGTGTTCCATTCGTACAGCGCATTAGGCCTGTGAAACGCTGTTTTCCTTCTGTCCTCCTCCCTGATCTCTATCTGGTTAAACCCCTGCCTCATATCTAACGTAGAAAAGATCACTGCTTCGGGCAACTTATCAAAAATTTCTTCGGCTGAGGGCATCGGGTACCGTATCAACCACCGCACATTCTTCTCGAGAGTACTTCCCCAGTCAGGTCGGTGCGAGCTGCTACAACGGTGGCTGCTGCATAGTCTGACTCCGAGGGGCGTATGAGTCCTGCTGCCAGCAGCTCCTCGCACTTTTCAGTGCACACCTTCAGATCCTCCACACTCATTCGCCTTTTTCGCTAGTAGATCGGCACCTCCGTGGTAAGGTTAATCTCCAACTGTCTCCCCTTGTACCTGCCCAGTTCCTGTAAAGTGTACGCAAAGGTTTTTCTGTGCTGCTTCAACGTCTCCTGTATCTCTACCGCCACTTCCACACTCAAGTCTGCCCCCAGCTCCCAGGTTTTCTCTTCCTCTGCGGCTGACCTCGTTGCTGCAAACGCCGGTGTCCCCTCCCGTCTCTCTTGCCTCCTGCCCTGCTGCATCTCCTTCAGCAGCCAAGTGAGTGAGTGTAGATCTATTGCCCGGCCAATTGCCGCCCTCCTCTCTTGCTCTGACTCTCCTGCTGCTGCCGTTGCCTCCGGAGCATAGCCCATTGCTTGCTCTCTTTCAATCGCCGTTGGTTCCTCCCACCGAGCCTTGTTGTGGTCGTACACCATGCCTGGCCCTGGTTCCCCCTCTTCTTCCTTGAATCCTCTCGCCTTCGGGTACGCCACCAGCGTGGGCCAGGCGCATCGGGGTTCCCCTACCCGATTGCATTGATATTGTCTCGGATGGTCTCGTTTAACCACCTCCGCCGCCACCCTCCCTGGTTCTAAGATGTCTTGCACTGTCCTGTCCTGTTCTCGCGCCACCCTTCCCACTCTATCCTTCAGCTCCCTTCCAGGTATCACGTTCTGCCAGAAGCGGCGCACGCGATGGCACCTGGCTCCCGACTGTGCGCCATCCCAGCTCACGCCCCTTCCCAGGCAGGCTTCCACCAGCTCTTTCACCTCCCTGACCGGCTCCCGCATGTCTCCGTCCATGTCCACATGCTCGATGACATAAGCATACTTGCTGTTCCCTTCCTTCATCCAGGCCATGATTTCCAGCAACTTGCTCAGCAGTGCTGTCCTCTCGTCCTGTAATCCCCTTCCCTTGCCTGCTCGTGAGGTGCCTTGGCATTCCCATCCAGCCACCAGCAGATCTACTTCTCCCCAGGAGAGCACCATTTCCTTGGTGATTTCTTTAACGTCCCACGTCGTTCCCTGCTTTGCTTCCTTTATCACCCGCCTCTGGAGTTGAGCTGGATACTTCTCCTGCAGCTGCCTCGCGTGCTCCCATGCCATCCTTCTCACCACTGGATCAATCTCCATATATATCCATCTCTTTATCTCCATCCCCGCTTCCAGCGCTGCTGCCAGTCCTGCCCCCAACCCTCCGAACAGCTCCACCAGGGTCACCCCTTGCGCTTTCAAGACTTTCGGCCCCGTTAATCCGTCAGCTCCCTCCCTTACTCTGCCCTCTCCTCCCTTTTTCCCCCGTTCAGGCTTGGGCATCTCCGTACTTGCCTTCCACGCCTTCTTCGGTTCTGTCTTCACAAATCTTACCGGTAGCTCTCCCAACGGTCTATCCTCCTCCCAGAATTCAGTGCGGAATAACAGTTGCTCGCGCCACGTGCAGATATTGGCTCCCACCTTGTACAAGAGCTCCATGCCGAGCAGCATGTCATAGTCATCCGACTCGGTAAGGCAGCACTGCACTCTTATGCGAGTTTCCTACTCTTTGCCCGGCAGCAACACTACCTCCAGCGGCTCCTTCGTACTGGGCATCCATTTGGGTGCGCCCCCTTCTGCCGTCATGATAAGCATACCCTTTTCTTGGACCTCCACTCCTTCCTTGCATTGTAGCTGCTCACTCAATTTGCGCCCCAGTAGCACACTCTGTGCCCCCGTATCAACCACCACGTTGTTCACTCTAATGCCCTTCACTGCGATTGCTCCTGCCTCCACTTGTATCGCTATTGGCTGGCACACCAGTCTCTCCTCCGGTCTCCTCTTCGCCCTTCCTTCTACCGGTTCTGGTGCTGTCTTTGCCTTTGCCCTCCGCCCATATGTCTTCAGTAGTTCTGCCCTGCCATCCTTCCCTCCACTCCGCAGTCCCAGCTCTTCCCGTGCACGTGGCACCATAGCTACATACGCCCGCTCCGGCTCTTCCTCTTCCGAATCCTCCTCATCATCCTCCCACGCCATCATTGCTCGTTCGGGGTCTTCACTGATTTCTGCCTTACCCAGCTGCGCTCTGAGCTTCTTCAACTCCTGCTCTAGCTGTTGCTCCCTGCTGGATTTATTCCTGTCTCGTCTCCCTTTGCTATAGCAGTGTTCCTCTGTGTGCCCTCTTCGCCCACAGCCCGCGCAGGTAGGCGCCCTTGGGCAATCCCTCTTCAGGTGCCCCTTCTGCCTGCAGATGTCGCACGACTTCTCCGCCACACAATCTCGGCGGATGTGGCCCGCTTCCCCGCACTGATGACAGCGCCGCCGATCTTCTCCCCTGGTACGCTCTTCCTCCTCCTGCCTCCCTTCAGGTGCCGCCCACCCTGGTCGCTGCCGCTCGCGGCCGCGGCTGGTGCTCCGCATAGCATCAAAGAATCGTCTCCCTTCCTCCACCTCCTTAGCGACCATGTACACCTGCCTGAGCTTCGCTCTGACGCCCAGGGAGTACAGCTTGGGCTTCATGTCCGTCACCAGGCCCTCGTCCAGCCCGTTCATGAACTTGGTAACCATAGTCCTCTCCTCCGCGCATCCGAGATCCTCTGCCAGCTCCACGAGCCTGTTGTAGTACGCGAGCAGAGACTCTGAGCGCCCCCTCTTGAAGTCCTGGAACTCCACCAGCCGCTCAGCAGAGTGCCCTGGAAACTGCTCCTGCAGAATTTCCAAGAACTTGTCCGTGACCTCTCGTGGCTGCAGCTGACCTTCATTGCATTGTCTCAGCAGACCAGTCAGTTCCACGCGATAGTGTGTCTGTGCTTCCCCTCTCAACGTCTTCCCCAATCCACGGAAGAACTCGATGGGTCAAGTCCCTCCCGATCCCAGCAGTAGCGAATGTCTTCAATCATCATCAAGGAGTTTTTCAGCGTAGGCTCCTCTCCTGGTACACCTGAAAATCTTTCGGGAATTTCAATCTTGGGCACCGTCAGCCCCGCCGATCTCCCACTGCCCCAGCTGTTCGCAAGCTCTCCAGCTCTGTGCGATCCTCCAGGCTGACTCTCGTATCGCCGCTGTGATGCTTCTCGATTGCCACCCTCCAGCTCAGTTTCCCGCCATCTTCCTTGGTTGCCCGTCAGATCCGCTTCCTTCTCCCTTCCTGCAGGCGTTCCCTTCTCGGAGCCGCGCTCTGATCCTTCTTTGCTCTCTCGCCCTGGGGTATGGCAGGTGGATGACTCCGTGCGCCCCGTTGGCTTCTCCCTCGGCCCTTGGCCAACTCCGTGTCCAGGTTCATGAGATCCAGCTCGAAATTCCTGACGAGCCGCCTCTTCACCTCCTTCAGGATCCCCCATCACTCGCGTCGAGTATAGGTTCCCTGATCTCAACTGTCGGATGTATAATTCCGGATCAGATCCGTGCATACCCCGCGGCCCTTGGCCTATCTTTAATCCAGCACTAGCGTTGCTTCCGCTAAGGGCCTTTTTGCTTGTTTGGAACGCGCCCCGCAATACCAGTGCTGTGCGCAGACTATTGCTCGAGCTCCTAACACTGCTAGCTTCGAATTGAAGTCAAATTTGCAGTACGAAAGGAACAAACAAGCAAAAAGCAAGCAAACATTCGAACCCCCTCCAGATCTATCCTAGCTACCTCCTAGCGTGGCCTTCTGGCTCCTGGTGCGCGAAGAAACCTCTTCGGCGCACTCCCAGGGTGCTAGCTGGCTACCTACGAGCTAGCTGGAATCCAGCTTTCCCACCGCCATCCAACTTCGCACCGCATGCATTGGGTTTCTCCTCCCAATTCCCTCGCGCCTTGGGCACACCAACCCCCTCGGAACCTGCCCCACCAACTCTCTCCCAAAACGGAATAGCAAGCACAGTACAGTATAGTACACAGTGAAACGAAAACAAGTAAAAGCAAACACAACAACTTACCCTTGCTGCTGCAATATTTCAGCCATGGCTCATAGCCAAGCTTAATAGTGCGACAATCCAGCGAGCCTGCAATGCAAAGTCAGCTCCGCACACCTACCAACACCCCCCTCCGCATATCCTACCAACACCCCCCTCCGCATATCCTACCAACACCCCCCTCCGCATACCTACCAACACCCCCCTCCGCATACCTGCCTGCACTCTCCTCGCCATACCTGCACGCACCGCACCACACCTACTTGCACTCCCCTCGTCATACCTGCCTCTTGCTCTCCTTCTCTGCTCCTCGAGATGCAACTGACCGCCACCCTCCATCCTCTGCCCTCGACTGTCAACTTGACTCATAAATCACTGCACCGTACCTGCCTGCACCACACCACACCTACCTGCACTCCACTCGCCATACCTGCCTCTTCCTCTCTTTCTCTGCTTCCAGCGATGCAGCTGATCTCCACCCTCCACCCTCCACACCCAGTCGCCCTCCCATCACACCACCCCTCATCTCCCCGCCTTCTCCTCGTTCTCCTCCAACCCCTCCTTCCCCTCCAACCCTTTCTTCCCCCTCTTCCCCCTCCTCGTCCTCTCTCCCTCCCTCCTGCCCCCCTCCTCCCCTGCGCCGCCTCACAAGCCCAGCAACCTCATACCCGCTGCTGCTGCCATGCGCCCCGCTGCCCCCTCCCAGATCACCCGTTGCACCCACCACACCCTCGTTCACCTCTGCTCTTCCTCCTCCTTCTCCTCCCCCTTCTCCTCCCCCTTCTCCTCCCCCTTCTCCTCCCCCTTCTCCCCCCCCTTCTCCTCCCCCTTCTCCTCCCCCTTCTCCTCCCACTTCTCCTCCCCCTTCTCCCTCCGTTCCAAGGTCTTTGATCTGCGGGTCCCCCTCAGACTTTACCCCTCCCCCTCTGGATCGCAGTGAGTGGCCTCGGCTCGCCTCTAGTGCTGCCACCGCTGCTTGCCGCGCCTCGTCCCGCTGCCGTGCCTGCACGCGCGCCTGTGGATTGCATTGCAGCGGATGAACAAGGATTCAGATTGAGGCAAGTCCACCGGAAGAGAATAAAAGAATAAAAGCATGCTGCGCCTGGGGCCGTGATCGCAAGCTGGTGGAGATTTCAAGGCGCACATTCCTGTAACCACATGTGACTGTAACTACACTACACATGCCTGTAACGGCGCATGCCTGTAGACATGCGTGTGCATGTAGATATGCGTGTGCATGTAGATATGCGTGTGCATGCAGATATGCGTGTGCATGTAGATATGCGTGTGCATGTAGATATGCGTGTGCATGTAGATATGCGTGTGCATGTAGCTGTGCGTGTGCATATAACCGCATGTGAATGCCCCTCCTAAATCCCCCCTCCCCCTCCCCGGCCCCCCCCCTCCTCCTAAATCCCCCCTCCCTCTCCCGCTCCCCCTTCCTCCTAAATCCCCCCTCCCCCTCCCGCTCCCCCCTCCCTCCTCCCCTCTCCCTCTCCCCCCTTCTCCCTCCCCTCTCCCCTTTCCCAACCCACGCCCCCCCCCGCCCCCTTCCCCACCCACACACACCCGTCCCCATCGCGCCACTCACTCGCTCCTCAGCAGCAGCCTGCGCCTACTCGTCCAGTCGCTGCTGCTGTCTCCCTTCCTTCTCCTTCCCGTGCGCTCCCTTCCTTCTCCTTCCCGTGCGCTCCCTTCTCTTGCCCTAACTCCCTCCCCCCTCCCCACTCCCCCTACCCGCCCACCTCGCGCCACTCACCCGCTCCTCAGCTGCAGCCTTCGCCTCCTCCTCCAGTCGCCGCTGCTGCCGCTCCCTCACGCCCACCACCGCCTCCTCTCGCTGCTCCGCCCCTGCTGTACGGAGGGGAAAAGGAGAAGTGGGGAGGGAGGGGTGAGGGGGGAAGGGTGGGGGGCGGGGGAAAGGGGGAGGGGGGAAGGGGGAGACGACAATTAACGATCGACGACGAGATCGTTTAAAGTAACAGCTCGCTAAAGAATTCGCTGCTACCGCTCTCTCACGAGCGATTTGGTAAAATTTTCAAGAACCACCACTGCTCCGCACCTGCTGCGCAGGGGGTTCCGAGGCCGGCGGGATGGAAGATCGACGGTCACCGTGAAGCAATCTCGCGAAAATTATGTTCGCTCATTTACGCTGATGTAAAAGTCCGCGAACCCGAAATTCGCGACAGGTTCGCGGAAAACAGGTTAGCTGTTCAAAGAAGTACGCAGGCTTGAAAGGAATTGATTAGCGCGCGGATGTGTGGACATATACCGACCCCAGTAGTAACGCGTATCCCGTCTCGCCTGATTCGGACGGTGGTCGAATTATATGCGAGGCGAGTATCCTGAGATGCCGGACCGGCAGGAGTAGCCAGTCAGCCGTCAGCGCTAACAGAATCGACACAGACGCTGCTAGGAGCGTGGCCTCCGCAACCGCCTGGAAATTCGTTAAAACGCGAGTCCAGGCGAAGCGCGTGCCGTCGTCATAGAAAGATCGATACTGTCGAAAGTGACTGTAGAGAGAGGCAATAGCGGCACCGACGCCGGCTACCATGACGATGATCGTCGTATTGGATAGACGCATGGCGTCACGTATGATTTCTTTATACCAGGAAATGTCAATCTTAGGTACTACAACTATGTAGCGGATGTACGACCGGAATTATACCTCACAAGTAGCTCCTTTGCTTAAGTGTGGTAACCGATAGTGTTACTTTCACATGTTGAAGGAAGAGAGCATGGAAGGTGTTATAAGTTGTGAAAGGAAAGAGTGCGCAGAACTCAATAATGCGGAAGTGATTACAACGTCTGCATGGACAACGGGGCCTAGGCATAATATAGCAAGGTTAGCTAGGCCGAGGTCGCGGGGTCGCGAGATGGTTGGGTGTAGGTTCGGGGTTGGAAACCCGAAAACGACGCGGTGGTGGCTCGGAAGGCGAGGTCGGCGGGCCGAGCCTGGTTTTCTGAAAGTCGGAGTTGTACGCGTACAGTGTGACCCAGTAAGGAATCCGGAAAATTCCTTACACTACCCCCCCCCTTTAAGAAATGTGGTGAATGTCCGAAACACCACGGCGGGTCAGGTAAGCGTCCAAAACCGGGTGTCCCAGTAGCGAATCAGCAGCGACATACGTGTCGTCCTCGCTCGTGCGGTCTTTCCAGCGAAGCAGGAATTTCACCGAGCGGCCGGCAGCAGTCACATCCACGCGATGGTTAAGAAACCTCCAAGGTTCTAGCGTTGGCTCTGCCACGGGGCGAGTGGTCGGCGCGATGGTTGGGCGAGCAACAGCTGGCGACTGCGGCTGGTCGTAATGACGCAACAGGCTGACGTGGAAGGCGTCATGGATTTTCCAATCGTCGGGCAGCAGCAGCTTCGCGGTGACCGGTGTCACCATCTGGATGATACGGAATGGTCCCACGTATCGGGGCCGTAATTTCGCGGGTTGCGGCAGCCGAAGGTTCTTGGTGTCCAGAAGCACAACCTGCCCTGTGCGGAAGGGTAAGTTTCGTCGGTGTTTATCCGCCTGGCGACTGGCCGTGGTATTAGCTTTGCGAATGAAATCGGCTGCTTTTGTTCGGGCGGTTTGCAGTTCCGTGACAAACTGCTGCGATCTTGGTACCGGGTTGTCCACAGTCGTTGAAGAGGGTACCACGGGATCTATCCCGTAATTCAGGAAGAAAGGTGATTGTTTAGTCGTGGCCGACGGGGCGTTGTTGTACGCGAATTCCAGCATCGGTAACGAATCTTCCCACTTGCTAATGTCGGGGCAGTTGGTGCGAATCAGCTGTTCCATGGTCTGATTTGTCCGTTCCGTCTGTCCGTCGGTTTGCGGGTGGTATGACGACGAAAACTGCAGGCGGGTACCGTACTGTGCCCACGTTTCCTGCCAGAACTTCGACGTAAATTTCGGATCACGATCGCTGATGATCGCCGAAGGTAACCCGTGTAGGCGTACGATGGTGGAGATGAACAGTTTGGCTGTATCTTCGGCTGTGATCGTTGTTCGGCATGGGGCGAAATGCGCCATCTTCGTTAGGCGATCGACGACGACCAACGCCGAGTCGTTGCCACTCGTGCCAGCTGGGAGCCCCGTGACGAAATCCATCGTCACCTGTTGCCACGGTCGTTCGGGTGGCGCGAGGGGTTGCAGCAGACCGGCTGGCCTTTGTCGCGACGACTTCATTGCTTGGCAGGTCGGGCAAGTTGACACGTAGCGCTGCACATCGGTTTGCATGTCCGGCCAGAAGTAATTCCGCTGCAACAGCTTTAGTGTCTTGTCGGTGCCGAAATGCCCGGAGAGGTTGGAGTCGTGAACCTCCTGCGTCAGCAGCTCCCGTAAAGGCTGGTATGCTGGTACCCAAATCCGGTTCGTACCGGCTTTTAGGTAGTATTTGCCGTGCGGTGTAGCAGCCTGTTGTTGCGGGTTCCGAAAGAACCTGTCGATCTTATAGCCGTGGGTGAATAGTCCTGTTAGCATCGGGTTGGTGTGGGCGATTAGTACCGCCGCGTTTTGCATGGATGGTCGGGTAAGGGCGTCGGCGATGTTGTTGGCGCCCTTTTTGTACGTGATGGTGTACCGGAAATTGGATTCGAGGAAGTCCAACCACCGGATTTGTCGCGGGTTGAGTGTCGGTTGCGTGCGCATGTACTGTAGCGATTTATGATCAGTCCGAATCGTCACGCGGAATGCATGGACGATGGCCAGCATTTCTTTGTCGTGGACTGGGTAGTTGCGCTCAGGTGGTTGCATCTTGCGTGACTCGTAGGCGATGGGTTGCAGCCCTTGGCCGAAGTCCTGTAGCAGGACAGCGCCGACGGCGAAATCGCTGGCGTCCGTGACGACTTCGAACGGTCGGGATGGATCGGCGAGGCGGAGTACCGGGGGTGAACCCAAAATGTTTTTGAGAGCGTCGAAGGCGGATTGCTCCCTCTCCCCCCACCTGAAATCACTGTCGTGGTGCAGCAGGTCGGTCAGCGGCTTGGTTATCCCTGCCATATTGGGTACAAAACGACGAACGTAGTTAACAAACCCCAGAAAACTTTGCAACTCAGGGATATTAGTAGGCGGCTTCCACTTAACGATGGCGTCCACCTTGCGCGGGTCGATTTTAATCCCTTCGCCGGAAACCACATGCCCCAGAAACTCTAATTCCGGTTTCAGGAACTCACACTTAGACCCCTTTGTGATTAGCCGATGCCCCTATAAACGCCGGAACACCTCCTCTAAATCCCGCAGATGGTCCTCTTTTGTCGCGCTGTACACCAGGATATCGTCCAGGTACACGATGACCTTCTTGTCCAGCATGTCCCGAAAAATTCCATTCATGGTGAGCTGGAACGTCGAGGGCGCGTTTGTCAGGCCGAACGGCATCACTGTGAACTCGTAACTGCCGTAGCGTGTGCGGAAAGCGGTCTTCGGGCAGTCGTCAGCGAATACGCGAATTTGGTGGTAGCCTCCTCGCAGGTCGATTTTCGAAAAATACCGAGCTCCGCGAAGTTGATCCAGCAGATCGTCGGTTTGCGGGATCGGGTAACGCGACTTTATCGTGACCCGATTCAGCGCCCGATAATCGATGCACATGCGTAGGCCACCGTCTTTCTTCGGCGTGAACAGTATTGGTGCTGCATACGGCGACGTGCTGGGCCGGATAAATCCTTTGGCGAGTAGGTAATCCAGCTGGGCCCGCAACTCGGCGAGTTCTGGTTGACTGAGCCGCCACTGTGTCCGCACAGTCGGTTGCGCGCCGGGCTCCAGTTGGATCCGATGATCCTCAGGTCGTTGGGGGGGCAAACCATTCGGGAGGTCATCCGCGAAAATTTCGGGATACTTCCGAATAATGCTCGCCAGTTCCTCGGGGATTGCCGGGCAGAGGGTGTCGATGTCCGCGATTTTTTCGGAAGCTGCCACTTCGTACAGGTGCACTAAGAAGGCCTGAGCTCCGCTGTTCATCGCACGTTGCATGTTGATCGCGTTGACACTTGTCGTCACCGGCTCCGGCTCCGTCCATTTCGGAAGCGTCGTCTTCCCTCCATATCCTCGCACGACGCACGCCCCAGTCGTCCAGTCGATCGTCGGATTGAAGCGCTGTAGCCAATCCCTCCCCAGCAGCACATCGCAGCCGTCCAACGTCGTCGCCAACATTCTCATGCCAAACCCGAATTTGTCGCCGCACTGTATCCGAATTTTTCGCGCCTCATCTCGGATGGCCAGCGGTGTTCCGTCCACCAACCTTGCATCGATCTCTGGTAGACACCTGGTCAGCTTCACCCCCATTTTTTTGGTCGTTGCCAGGTTGACGAGACTGTGGCTCGCCCCACCGTCAACGAAGAGTTTAATTTTATAACCGTTAACCCTCCCTACCACCAACACAGGGTAGTCCACGTGTTCACCCACGTTATTCGTCCGGTTCTGGCCGATAGCGCTGATCGGTACCACGACCCGGTGTGGATGGTGATTGTCGGGCGACAGGGTCTCGTCAGTAGGTGGCCCGTCTGCTACTGACTCGTATCTTTTCCCGACCCTTCTCCGTCGTTCTTCTTCCCCTGCTTAAGCCTCGGGCAGTCTTTTTTCAGGTGGCCCAGCTGGTTGCATAAAAAGCACGGCCCAAGGGCTCGGCTAGGTGCATCCACGCCGTTGATCGGGGGCTGCTGAGTCTGTCCACGAAATCGAGGGCCCTCCCGGGAGCTCGATCTCGCCCACTGCATCAGCGCATCCGTTGACTCAGCTTCCCGGACGGCATCGTTGAAGCTGCGTGGTCGGGTTCGTCAGACCTCGTACTGTATTTCGTATTTCAGGCCCGCCACGTAGCGATCCAACCGCTCTGCGTCGCTCATGTCATCCACTTGGTCCGCCAAGTTGCAGAATTTGCTGGTGTAGTCTTGGACTGAAGTCAGCTGCTTCCAGGTACGCAGCTGCATGCGAGCAGAGTCCGAGGCGGATATGTGCTCGAATCTGGTTCGCAAGGCAGCGCCCCACTCCTTCCATGTGCGTATCGTGGCCGTCCCGAAAATCGGTGTTGCCTGATGCGTGACAGGTGTTGAAGTCCCGTCGTTCGCACGTGCTATTCCTGCCGAAGTCCCTTCGTGTTGCAGCGTTTGCCTCCACCACTCCAGCGCAGGTCTTCGTAGCAGTGAAACTGCGAAATTAATGCGGGTGGCGTCGTCATAAATCATAGCAGCATTAAAGAACACCTCCACACCGAACAACCACGCAGAAACAGTGACAAACTTATCACTCGGGTTAAACGGGGGCGGGTTCGTCGGCTTGATTTTCACAAAAGCCGTTGCTGCCATCGGGGCCGTTGGCGTTGCTGCTGGCGTCGCCGTCGTCGTCGCTGCTGCACGTGGTGGTACTGCACGCGACTGTTGTGGCGACTGTTCTTGCTGCGCCTGCCTCACTTCGTCCGCATCCATCTCGCCTTCTAGCTCGCTCCAGACCCGCTCATCTGGTGTAGTGCTGCTACTTGCGTCGTCCACTACAGGCGACTCCTGGCGCGCTTCACCACGCGCTTGGTGTAGTTCGGCGTTTTCCTTCCGTAGACGCTCCATCTCTGCAGTCATACCCTGCAAGTTGGCCTGCATCGCAC